GAGGAACACAAGCAGGGGGAGTGGGAGAGGGAGAAGCAGGCTTCCCGCTAAGCAAGGAGCCCAATGCGGGGCTGGATCCCAGGACCCTGGGATCATGACCTGAGCCGAAGGCAGACGCTTAATGACTGAGCCACCCAGGCGCCCTTCTTGGTACTATTTTTTCAGTCTCCTCTGTGATCTCTCCTCATTTCCTCTGACCTCTGAAGAAATGAAGGATCCCAGGATTTAGGACTCAGACCTTTCCTCTTCTTACTCCTTTGTTGAGCTCATCCAGCCCCTGGCTTTAAATAACATCCATATGTTGATGACTTACTAATTTATATCTCTAGCCCAGGCTTCTTTTCTAAACTCTGGACTTCTATAACCAACTGCTTACTCCACATTTTCCATTGGATGGTGTCCAATAGACATCTCAAATTTAACATGGCCAACACTTAACTCCTGATCTTCCCTCCCCCAAGTCTGCTCTATTTACTCTCCCCCTTATTGGTTAATGGCGACTTCTTTCTACCAGTTGCTCCAAAACCCTTGGAGTTACCCTTGGCTCTTCTCCTTTCTTCACATCAATTACATTAGCAAATTTTATTGTCTAGAGCACCTCCACCCTGGAACAGGTCGCCACCATCTATCATTGGAGTTACCCAAGAGGTCCCCTTACTGGTCTGCTGCCATACTTGCCCTCTCTAGTTTATTCTTTACCACTCTCTAATGGCTCCCCATTTCTCCCTGAGTAAAAAGTCAAAGTCCCTAACTTCGGGCCACAAGATTCTACATGGTCACTTACTCTGACCACATTGGCTGAGAATAAAAAATTTACTAATACTGAATGATGTAGAAGATAGGTCTCACTTACACATTGTTAGTGAAATGCAATTTGTTAATATCTGTAAAAAATTTAAATTAAGCATATACTATGACCTAGCAATTCCTTTTTTTAAAAAAATGTATTTTATTTATTTATTTGAGAGAGAGAGAGAGACAACAAGCAGGGTGAGGGGCAGAGGGAGAAGCAGACTCCACTCTGAGCAGGGAGCCCGATGTGGGGCTCGATCCTGGGACTCCAGGATCATGATCTGAGCTGAAAGCAGATGCTTAACTGACTGAGACACCCAGGTGGCCCCGACCTAGCAATTCCATTGGTAAAAATTTATCTTGTGAAAATACACAAGTGGCCAAAGACACATATGCAGTGTTCGCTGCAGCACTATTTGTCATGGGAACACAAATATACATGGCCCATCCATACAACGGAAGACCGTGTATGATAATGGAGATTCACGGACTTTGGAAAAATCTCCAAGATGTGTCATTAAATGCTAAAAGAAGCAGATCAGTAACTACAGAATAATCTCATTGTTTAATAAAAGGTCAACATAAACGTGCTGTGTGTGTGTGTGCGCACGTGTGTGCATGATTTGAAAAGGTTACTGATCAGCATGGGTTATATCTGGGGAGTGAGGCTGGGAGTTGGAGTATGAAAGAGATGCTTCTTCCTTCTATAATGTTCTATTCAATTTCAGTCACCTTTCTTTTTTTAAAGAAAAAAATGCACCTTTTAAAAAAGATTTTTTAAAAAACATGCACTTTTATAATTTGTATGTCTTTAGTAATTATAAAAAACATTTTTAAAAGTTCATCCCTATTCCAAGATCATAGAAATGCTCACCTGTATTTACTTCACATTCATGTGTCTTTAAAAAAAAGTACATGTTTGAATTAACTCACACAGGATTAAAGGATGGGTGGGTATATCTAGAGTTTGCTGCAGAGCATGACTGTTTCTTTTTTAAAACCTTTTTTGATAAAGAAAACAGAACATACTATTTGTAGAAAATCTAGCAATAAAAACTCTTGGCAAGCCAGAGAAAACCTGTTAACATTTTAGGACATTTCCTGTAAAAGGCAGGGTGTCCAGTGATGTGAAACCTGAAACCTTCTCAGTCTTTTGCTGATGCCTTAACGCCATTTGAAGGGGGGATAAGGGGGGCCTGGCAGTTTGGGCTTCCTCTGTTTGGAAAATTCAGCAGAAGGGGTCACACACAATGGTAAGGCAAACATCACCCATTGTTCATGGAGAAAATAGTGAGGTCACCTTAATCCTGCCAGCAGATGTTGCCAACCGAGATATGCAGCATTCTGCCATCGTGAAGATCAAGTAGTCTTTTAGCCAAACCCTTCCTTGAAGTACAAGGAGAAACTGGTTCCCCAGGAGTGTCTTTGACCCACGTGTGTGTCCCCCCTCCACAGGCTTACTTCAGACGGAGGGCGCACCCAGTTCCGTGGGCTGGACATGGGCAGATTTAGGAATGGAGCTGCCCACCTTGGAACTGTCAGGAGGGCAGGGCTGGCTCCCAGGTACCAGGTGTGCCTGAGGTTGCTTGGCCCACGCTGCCCCAGGGGCCGAGGGGACACCTTGCATTTCCAACACTGCAGAACAGAGCCTGACAGCAGACGGGCCAGACCCTGGTGACACAAACATGGATGTACCACCTGGTTTCAGCTTGCCAGAAGTGGAGTCCAGAGTCAAACCCACCATGCCAAACTCTTTCCCGGAAAGGACAGAGGGTAAATACCCGGCAGGCAAACAATTCTGGACTAACAAGGAAATGAGGTAATACATCAGGTTCAAACAGAGAAAGGCGCCCGAAGAGCCCAGAAATAAAAAATTAGAAGGATGTAGCCTTTGTATAAGTCCCCGTGGCAAGAGGCAGATTAGTAGCCTGGCAATATCATTCGCTAGCCCATAAAAGCGGAAGGGACAATGGGAAAGGAGCTGCAGATAGAAGATGGAAGTGAGAAAATGGGATTCGGACGTTTAGGGAAAACCAAGATATCTGACTTGAGCCTTCTCTAAGTCTTGTTAATTTCTTCCAGGACATCAACCAAGGGAAACGGGAGGGAGAGAGGCCAGATTAAAGGAGACATAGGAAGAACTAGAGAGCTAAGGAGAAAGGTGGTCTGGCCCAATCTCCTGATCTTCCTTCCATAGATGAGGAAAACCAAGGTCCAGAGAAAGGATGCCACTTTCCCACAAAACCAGACTCAGTGGCTAAGACTCTTGAGTTCCCTGTCTAGTGCTCTCAAGCCCTGCCCATCAGGAGTGATCCATAGGCCAAAAAGGGAGGAGGAGATTAAAGTCCTGCCAGAAGAAAGGCAAGCTACACACTCAGAAAGAAACCACTCTCCTGAGGCTCCATCACTTCTCAGCCAGACTGGCACCATGGTAGGTGTTTATTTTAATGGGGGGAGTTCTTCTACTGCTCTCTGGAGCATTCCAGGGCTGGAGACACCAGTGAAAGGAGCTAGTTTAAAGGGAGGCCCAGACACCCTCCCTACCCTGACCTTCCTTGGGCTGGCCAGGGCACAGAGCGACAGCCAGCGTACCACCGAGGTGTGAATGGGCCCAGCCCTACTCCTGCCAGGCACCCCTGACCTCAGCTCTGCAAGCCTGTGGTGCCAACACAGACCATGTGTTCGCCAGAGGGCCCCCACCCCCATGATGAACGGTCCAGAATCCCAGCCACAAGGCCAGAAGTACTGAGCGCCTGCTGCCCAGGTGGCCTTCAGACTGTACATGATGGGGAGAGGCTAGGTACCGGCTAGGTCTGATGGGCACGCAACAAGTCACCCCACACCTGGCAACCTGGGCAGGAAGGAGGCCCTCCTTGGCCCAACTTGGCTGGCCAATGTGTGATGGTCTAGGTGCCCCCTGGCTTACCTCCAGCTAATGCCCAGCTTCATGCCCAACGGGAAATCCAAGGCCTAGAGGGCCACCGCCACCCTGTGGCCTTTTCATGCCATGTGGAGAGTATGAAATAACTCCTAGAAGCCTAGACCCTTCCACACAGCCTCATTCTTGGCCTCCCCTTCCTGAAGTGAGAATTTCAGAGCAAGGGGAACTTCTGGTTGAAATCTGAGGTAGAGGGGCACCTGGGTGGCTCAGTTGGTTAAGCATCTGCCTTCAGCTCAGATCATGATCCCAGGGTCCTGAGATCAAGCCCCACATCGGGCTCCCTGCTCTGCCGGGAGCCTGCTTCTCCCTCTCCCTCTGCTGCTCCCCTTGCTTGTGTTCCCGTTCTCTCCCTGTCAAATAAATACATAAAATCTTTAAAAAAAAAGAAAGAAAGAAAGAAAGAAAGAAAGAAAAAGAAAGAAAGAAAGAAAGAAAGAAAGAAAGAAAGAAAGAAAAAAGAAAGAAAGAAAGAAAGAAAAAGAAAGAAAGAAAGAAAGAAAGAAAGAAAGAAAGAAAGAAAGAAAGAAAGAAAGAAAGAAAGAAAGAAAGAAAGAAAGAAATCTGAGGTAGAAATAGGGGCAAGAAGATCTGGGGGGAAAGCCCAATGTCTGAGGAGAGATAAGAAGGTGGCAACAGGGGGTGCCTGGGGGGCTCAGTCAGTTAAGCGTCTGCCTTCGGCTCAGGTCATGATCCCGGGGTCCTGGCATGGAGCCCCACTTCACTTCCGGGCTTCCTGCTCAGTGGGGAGTCTGCTTCTCCCTCTGCCTCTGTTCCTCCCCCATTCATGCTCTCCCTCTCTAATAAATAAAATAAAATAAGATTAAAAAAAAGAAGGTGGCAACAGTTTGAGACCCAGCTGTGCTTTGCTTTCTGGCAACAGGAGGCTACAGACACTTAACTCTGTCTACACAGCAGTCCCCGAAGCTCACTGCACACCCCATCCCCCCCAGTATGTACCGGAGTTTGAGCGCATGCCCACAGCCGCACCCCTCCCCCACAGGCAGCCCAGCCTCTGCCCTACCGCAGGGGAATGAATCCCCTGACCCCAGGCACCATTCCAGGCCTAAGTAGGTCCCACACCCCAACCCTTCGTGACCTTCTAAGGTGACCCCACCAGCAGCTCTGCTGGTGGCAGGGGGCTGCCTCACAAGGGCACCTGAGGCCAAGTCTAGGTCCCTGGGGTCCCTCACCCTGGCGCCCACGCAGCCCCCACCCATCTGTCCACCCCGGAGACCTCCCACAGAAAAAGCGGAGTCCAGGGCAGGGAGGGGCCTCCACGTTTTATTAGGAATAGGGCAGAAGCAGAGGCTGGAAGCAGAGCAGCCGAGTTCTTAACGACAGATAAATTAACCGCAGTGCGGGGATGGGGGTGGGGGCTGGGCCAGGCGCTTCAATATAAAAAAACCACAAAAAGACAGACAAACGGACCCCAAAGACATGGGGCAGGGGAGGGCAGCACCATCCAGACAGCAGGGAGGACCAGGGCAGACAGAGAGAGAAGGCAACTTGACCCTTCGCCCCCCAAACTCCACCGGCCCGGGGACTCTGGGCTGGCCCCTCGGGGCTCCAGGGCAGGGAGCAGCCAGGCTGGAGATGGCACAGCTGGTGGGCGGGAAGCCCAGCACCACAAGGTGGCTCAGCCTCAAGGGGGCGCTGGGGGCCGGGACACAGCGACCTTGAACCCCCAGGCCCTCAGAGGACGAGCCTTACTCCAGGTGAGAGAAGGGACCAAGGGTGGGGTCTCTCCCTGAGCTGACAGTGGGCATCCCCTCCACAGCAGCGGTGGGTAATGGGGTGTGTCAGGGACCCCCTTCACCTTCTGATCCATCTGCCTCCTTGGTCCCTGCAGGGAGGGGCCCCATGGGCCCCGAGGGATGGGGCACGAGGACAGCTGGTCCAGTCAGTGGTCTCCAACGCCAGAGAGGGGCCCTAGTGTGGCGCAGCCCCTCAGCCCTGACTCCCGCAGGAGGAGAGTGAATCGTAGAGGGAGTCACTGAGAGACTCTGAGGTCTCCAGACCTGGGGGGCCGCCACTGGCCACTCTCCCTTCCTCGCCCACGTCCGATGTGCTGGGCGTGCGGCTACCTCCAAATGCCGGGCCCTGGGGTGTAGGGGCTGGGTGGCTGGGCTCCAGGCTCCGCTTCTGGTCCATGGGCAGGGCCTGGGAAAGGAAGGGAAGCTCAGGAGGTAGCTCCTTTCACCCCTCCCCAGCCGGGCTGGAGAGGTGCTGGGCTCTGCCCATCTGACGGGGTGCTGCAGAGGGGGCCCACCAAGGTGGCCCGAGGCAGAACTGAGCATGGTCCTACTGAGGTTCTGGGGAGGGAGAGAAACCCTTTCTCCAAGAGGGGTGTGAGAAGGGGCAGGTGGGTGGGCTGCCCGGAGGGGCATCCAAGGGGGCTGACCCTTCAGCCTCTTCTAAGACAGGGCTGTACCTCGTTGCAGGAACTGCTCTCCCCATGTCCCTCCTGCCCTCCAGGCCTGTCCCCTTTCTGGCCATGCTCACCATGGGGTTCCTGGGCAGCCCCTCCAATTGTCGGGATGGGCATAGAAAAGGGTCAGCGGAGCTGTTGGCTGCCCTCGCGTTGGGGAAGGTCCAGTTCTTAGCCAGCTGGACAGGAGGGGGAGGGCCTGGGTCTTCACAGGGATCTGCATGGGGACAAGGGGAAGGTGGGTGGTGGCAGGTAGAGCTCCAGGGATGACCCGCCCTTCTGCCCGTCTACTCACCGTCAGGACAGGTCTGATGGCCCCGGTGGCCCGGAGCGGCGGTGAGCAGCGCGGGGAAGGCTGACATGCTAGGGTGCCGCCCGCTCACCAGCAGCTCCTCTATGCCTGGCACCTCACGCTCCAGCGTGTGGGCACGGCGGGGGACTTTGGTAAGGGGTGGGGGCCGAGCCGGGGGCACTCCGGGTGGGGGGTCCAGCCGTGGTGGCTTTGTCTTGGGAAGATTCTTGCTGGGGGTCCCATTGCTGCCATGGTCTGGGGGTGGAAAGGTCCCAATGCCACTGTCCAGGGTTCGAGTCAAGGAGCCACAGGCTGGGGAGGGGAGGGTAAGTCAGGGAGGGGAGGCTGCAGGCTCCGCCCCTCTGCCTTCTTCTTCCGGCTTTCTGCCCCAGCCAGGGCTCCCCACCTGGGCAGGGCCCCTCCTGGCCCAACAGGCTGTCACCCCTGCCAGTCCTCCCCCTCAACTCCCCTAGACGTGGAAGGATATGTGGGGCGGCGGGGAGGGAAGCAGGCCAGGTACCCAAGGGCAGGGAGGGATTTAGTTCTGTGCAGTTCCAGTGCCTACCTGGTGCTTGGCCCCAAGATGGCACTCAGGGCCTAGCACCTGCTGCAGTGACAAGAAAGCAGTAAAGTGGGCAGGGGCTGAGGGGCAGGTCCCATCCTTGGCCCCTGACCCTGCTGACCTGTGAAGTGTGAGGTGGGCACTGGCTCAGCCAGGCTGTCCTCTGAGGGCATCTCTTCCCGCCTTCCCGGCTCGCTGTTCGGCTGTGTGGGGGTACAGGAGACCTCAGAACCCATTCCTTCCACCCCCGCCCAGGCCCCTCCCCAAGCTCTGTCATTAGGACCCCCTGAGCCCACCAGCCTCCAGAGACCACGAGTACACCCAGCAGCTTCCATGACCCAGGGAAGGGGGACCCTCCAGGGGGTGGGAGATCTGGCAGGGCCACAGAGCCAGGCCCAATACCTAGCCACCAAGAACCTACCTTTCCAGGAGGTTTTCCACAGCTCTGAAGAGGCCCCACCAGGCCATTTCGAGGCCCACAGGCTGGCCAGGGGTTCTTGGGGTCAGAGGACACTGGCTGGTGGAAATCGCCATACTCGGGTTTGGGCTCCCGCCAGTTCTTGGGCGGCAGCTCCTTGCCATCCACCCTACAGGCAGCGGGGTAGACGAAGGTGAAGGGAGGCCCGGGTGCACCCACTCGGACCTCACGCCCTCCGGTGGGGCTGGGTCTAGCGAAATCCCCACTGCCCCCGGCCCCTGGGAAAGGGGACATAGCCCCGGTGGCTGCCGCCATCAACTCCTCCTGATGCTGGGAACAGGCAGAAGCTCTAGGAAAAACCTCAGAGAAACAGCAGGGGAGATGGGACAAGTTCTCCAAAAGCCACACAGGGTCAAGCCTAGAGACCTCTTGACGCCATCTGCTAGTAGATGGCAGCCTGGTCACCTCCTGGTCCACACAGGCCACACCCCCACCCGGTGCCCAACCCCTATGGACATTCTGCCTCATCTGGCCTGGACGGAACAACCCCCAGACGGGACGGCCCCTTCTCTGAGCCACCGCTCCCGCTGCTGAGTCTGTGGCAGGTGGCAAAGGGCAAGATGGGGAGCGGAGCCCCGTGTGCTACGGGACAGAAAATCCCAGAGTAAGACCCCTATCAGCCCACGGTTAACTCCAGCTGACGCTGGAGGCGACTCAGGAGAATGTGGACTGTTAACTCTTCTTCAGTGAGAAGCTGGGTCTCAGCACGTGCAACATCAGGCGGCCAGAGAGGAGGGGGGCTGGGGCACAAAGCCCGGGCTTCCGATCTAAGCCCCGATCTTTCCTCTGGGCCAGCCCATTAGCCCCTAGATGCTTTGGGGGCATTTTACTCGACCTCCTGCCCTTTCTGCTCTCAGGGAAAGCAGTCCCAGCCCCAGGAGGGCCCATGGGGGGTGGGGGGGAGTGCCCCCAGCTACTCAGCGCCTGCTGACCGGGGCCAGGCCTTCCTCACCTGTTGAGCAGCTGCTGCATGAAGGTGTCCGCGCCCTGGTACATGCCAGCCAGCTGGCCCTGCACCTGCCCCAGCCCCGTACTCGGTCCCGGAGCCGGTCCTCCGGGCCGCGGCCGGGCCCGGCTGCTCAGGTAGGCCTTCTCCTCCTCCAGTGCCCGGCGGAGGTCTTCCGCCTTAGCCATCAGCTTGGAGATGTTGAGGCTCTCGGCCTCCAGCTTCCGGGCTTCCACCTTGACCTCCTTCCGGAGCGGGGAGCCCCCGCCGGCCGCTTCCTTGCTCTTGGCGGCCTCTGCGCGCCGGTTCAGCGCCGGCAGCTTGCTCTTCTTCAGGCCGAACCAGCTGGCGATGCTGCTGGCGTTGCGGTGCTTGGCCTCGGCGCCCGGTGCCCGCTCCTGGCCCTGGAGCCGCAGCACGTTCTCCTCGATGCCCTTCATCACCTTCTCCTCGATGGCCGAGTGCGGGGCCCGGCCGTCGGGGCCTTGGCTTGGGTCTGCAGGGCCAGGGGCAGGGGACGGAGGCTGGGCCGGAGCGCCGCCGCTGCAGTCGGCCCACGGTGGGCCCTTCCCCTTGTCAGGCTTAGGGGGCTCCTTGGTGGTCGGTGGGGCCCCCGGGCGGGGTACCACCTTGGTGGGGGACTTGGAAGGTAGCTTCGTTGGGCTGCCATGGGGGCTCTTATTGGGCTTGCCAAGGCTGGGGGCTGAGGTGGGCACTTTGGCAGGGGTGCGGGGTACCTGGGGGCACAGGGCCCCTGCCAGCCGGCTCTTGGCCAGCTCCACTTTGGTGAGGCAGCTCCTTGGTGAGACGGGCTCCAGGTCCACCCGGGCCCCCATGGAGTGGGAGGAGTAGACTCGGGCCCCGGGGTCCCCCAGGAGCCCAGGGTCTTGCTGCTTCAGGCTGCTCGTGCCTAAGGCCACTGCCCCCCGCAGGGCCCCCTTGGCTTCTGGCCCCTCAGGAGGCCGGGGGGTGGGAGGCGCCACGTCTCCAGGGCTCTCCGCTGACCTCCCTGCTCCCCGCACCTTCTCGGTGCCAGGCCTGGCTGGCACCCCGTTTTTCTCTGGCCCTTCGGGGCCAGTCTTCAGTTTCCCCAGGGCTGCCAGTCTGTCCCGCAGAGGGGTGTAGCCAGGATCCCCAGGTCGCCGCCCTGCCCCCTGGCTGGGCTTCTTAGATGAGCTGCTAGGGGTCCGGCGGCCAGGATGGGGAGACTCCGAACCGGCTTTGTCCAAACTCTTCTCCTGGGCATTCCCATAGGAGCAGGATTCTGGGAGGCAAGGGCTGGAGGGAGCTCCAGGACTTCTGAGGACCTCAGGGGCCCGTGGCACCTCCAGAGTTAATTGTGGGTAGGTGGGTACCTGCAGTGGGGATGGAGGTGGCTCTGGGGAAGGCCCCCTAAAGGTGCTCCGGGAAAGGTCCAGGATGTTCTCATAGCAGGGAGAGACCACGGGTCCCGGGGACAGCGTGGTGGACAACGCTGGCTGGGGAGCTCTGAGCTGTGCAGAGTCCAGAGCTGCAGAGCAGGGGGAAGGGCTGGTGGGCAGGCCCTGTGCTCCCTCCGGGGACAGCTCTCCTCCACTCAGACCCCTGCGGGCCAGCAGCGGGGAGGGGCTGCCATCAGAACCACTGTGGCGACAGGGGATTCGGGAGTTCCGGGGAAGCTGGGGGCTGAGCTGGGGGCCTCCTGGGCTGGGGACCTTCTCCGAAGCTGGAGGCAGCTTTAGAAACTTGAGACCTCTGGCTGGAGAGGGCAGAAGGGGTCCCTGGACTTCCCCGGGAGAAGGGGGGCCAATTTGGAGCTTGCTTTTCACCTGAGATGAGGAGTAGGGGTGGCCAGGCCGCAAGCCCAGGGGGGCATCACCCGCACCCATGAACATGCTGAGGAAGGGGAGGGGCCCCTGGCCCTCTGAGGTAGCACCAAAGCCCGGCCTGTGGGCCTCTGGGGTACCCCCACCCCAAGCTGACTTGGGGAGGCCTTTGGACTTGGACAGCTGTGGGGGGCCCTGGTCTGGGGAAGATGGCTGCCCGGGACCTGGCTGGTCCCCGTTGAGTGGGCCTGCAGCCCCGGCCAAGAAGGCCTGTAGGTAAGACTCTGTGTCCTCAAGGAGCTGGCCCAGGTTCAACTGTTTGCGGGCCAGGGCCCCAAGCAGGGTGTCAGGGCTGGGGGCCTCGTTGGGGTCACCTGCCTCATCCGAGGAGGAGGAGCTGCTGCTGCCTGGGGCACAGGGTGGCCCAGAGCCAGTGCCTTGGGCCTGGGAGGAGCCCCTACCAGGGCCCCAGGGCCGCCCAGCACCCTCTTCCTCCCCTGGGCCCCCCAAGAGGCGCTCCCAGTGTAGCAGGCCTCCCAGGCTACCAGGGCCTAGGAGCAGGTAGGGGGCCCAGGAGGAGGGTTCAGGCTGGGGCGGGCCACACAGCTCGCCGTTGATCGGCTCTGGGGAGCCGGGACCCTCGCCTGGGGGCCGCCATGGGGTGGCAGGCGAGCAAAGAAGCAAGGGGTCAGTTTCTTCCAGGGCTCTCAGCACCTCCAGGATCTGCGCTTTCTTTCGAAGGAACGGGGACAGGGCATCCAGTGCCGGGGGTGGGGCGGCCGGGGGTCCCGGGGGTCCTGGGCCTCCTGGCCGCAGCTGCTGCTCCCAACACACCTTCGGGGAGAAACAACATGAGGAGGGGCCCGCGTGCAGGCCTAGGACCTGAGCTGGGCCAAACTGAGTATGTCAGGAACAGAGCTGGCCTGGTTTTGTCCGAGTCCCCAAAAGGAATTAACAGCTTCTCGGATAGGACAGCTCAGCTTCCTTAAGTCACTGAGCCCTGGTTACCCCAACTCTTCCTCCTGGTGTACCTGGGGTGGGGTGGGGACCTCACCTCCCTTCCTGGTTATCGGAGCACCCCCCCACTACTGTTTGGGTCAGCAGGGCTGACACCACCTACAACCCTGATATCTATCTATGTTTGCCCCAGGGGAGGGAGGCCTGTCCATTTTCCAGGCTCCAGAAAGAACACAGAGACTCAAGAAGGGGATGCTATGTGGCCAAGTGCTAAGTCAGTCCCTGCCAGCAAGCCCAGGCCTTCTCGGGTCAGACAGCTGTCCTGCGGACCCGTACCCCAGGGAGGAGGCAACTGGGACGGCTCCACGGCAAGCCTCTCCCCGTTTCTGCCCAGCTCCTTCTTGGGCCCAGCTCATCTGGCATAGTGGTTAACCACACAGGCCCCTGAGCCAGACTATGTAGGTTCAAGTCCCAGGTCGACCGCTCAACTAGTTATACGGACTTCAGCTAGTTTTTTCACCTAAGCTTCACGGCATCGTCTATAAAATGGGGTGGTAATTGTGCTTAACCTCCTAAAATAAAGGAAACCACGGAAGCAAAAGAAAAAATGAGTAATAGTTCTAGACTTGAATAGAGACAATTGTGAATATAGGTCAAAAATTATTAAAAAATATATAAACGAGATCCAGGTGTGCAACCCAGAGCGAGAGCTCAGGAAATGGTAACCATGAGTCTACCACTAACCAACTTTGCTCGCAAGGCTAGTGACTGGCGGTCGGGTCCTGTTTCTCCCGGTCTGAGGCTCATACCCAGATGAGGATCTGGGCACCAGGGAGCAGCCCTCCCCCTGGCACTCCTTAGGAAGCTGCAACAGAGAACCGACTGAGGAGTCCGTCGCCAGCAAAGCCACAGAGCACTCTGGCCAGCCCTCCTACCTCTCTCTGCCCAGCACAGTGCCCCAGCGGCAGCGGGGTGGTCGGTCCCTCGGCAGAGCTCAGGGAGGGAGAGGCCGGTAGCTCTGAAGGCGGCTGGAGCGGCGCAAGTGGGATCTGCAGGGGAGAGGCAGAGTTAGCACTGGGGCTGTCTGTCCCGGGTCCCTACCCCCTCACGAAGTTCGGCCTTCCCCTCCAGGGCAGGAAAATGTTCTTCCAAGTCTGCTCCTTTGGGGACATCTCTTGGCCTCCAGTGTGGCTTCTGCCACCATCCCTGCCACTTGGTCAGAGGAGCCTCGGGAGACTGTGCACAGGTGGAATGAAGACATGTGAGCCCAGGTGGCAGGGAGATACCCTGGGGCTCTGGAGAAAGAAGGTCCCAGGGGCAGAGGGCAGTGGCAAGCCTAATTTGCGGCTCCAGGACCGCTCTGCTTCTCTGCGGGGCCCCCTTCCGATTATAGAGGGCCGGCCCCCAACAGCCCCTTCCTGTTCTGCCTATGACCCGAGCTTCCCCGGGACAGCTGAGACTGGCGCAGAGGCATCTGTTACTGGGTCCGAGAAGAGAGATGGTAGGGGTTCTCATCTCTGCTCCCCCCCGCCCAAATGGTCTCTGAGGATGACAAAAGTACCACTACGGAATCATGGGTCACCTCTCTCTCAGTCCCTGTGAATGTCATTTCCATCACCGAGGCGTCTCGACTAGACAGGAGTCAGCTTTCAACTCCTGCCTCTGGGGTGTTTCTCCCTCTTCTGGCCGGCCGGCTACAGCCCAGATCCTCACTCCTCTGGCCTGGATGCTGCTCAGCGTTTGTCTCCCCGACCTGGTTCAGTGGCTTTACAAATCCCTTATCCACGAAGCAGAAGTATTTTTTTTTCCTTTTCCTCTAAAGCCTCCTATTCCTGCCCACTTGCCGAAGGAGACAGGTCTGGACCCCTCTGCCGGCATTCTGGGCCCGGCCTGCTGGTCCTTCCCTGATGCCACCTCTGGTTCTTTTTAAGATTTTATTTATTTATTTGACAGAGAGAGACACAGCGAGAGAGAGGGAACACAAGCAGGGGGCAGAGGGAGAGGGAGAAGCAGGCTTCCCGCGGAGCAGGGAGCCCGACGCGTGTCTCGATCCCAGGACCCTGGGATCATGACCTGAGCTGAAGGCAGACGCTTAACGACTGAGCCACCCAGGTGCCCGCCACCTCTGGTTCTCACTGCTATTCCTTGGCATAGCCTCCGTTCCAGCCCAGCCGAACAGCTTGCTTCTGCCCGGGGTTTCCCTGCAGTTCCTCCCACAGGGCATCCCTTCTCCCCACCTGCAACTCTACTTTTTAAATCGCCCGTGCAGCAAGGCCCAGGTCCAGTGTCACCTCTCTAAGGCCACTCTGCTGGCCTCTCCCCGCTCCGGGCTCGTGGACAGTACTGTCACCCAGCTCCGTACTATGGCTGTCTGCAGACCTGCCTTAGCTCGCAGCAGACCGGAGCAGACTCAGGGTTTACGTGCTCTGCACCCACCACAGCCCTGTCCAGTTCCATACACGCATTGGCAAAGGCGCTGCCCACAGTAAGAGCTTAATTAGCATTTGCTCAATGGAGCTTTCATCCTAGCAAAGCACAACTTGAGAGTAACATTAATAATATAAATAGTTGCTAATCATTACTACAACTATGGGCCAAACACTATATATTATTTCATTTCATCCTCATGATAACCTGCAATATGGGTATCTTAATCCTCACTTTTAAGAAAAAAACAGGTTCATAAGGTTAAATAATTTGCCCAGGGTCACATAGCTAAGAATTAGCTAAGTTAGGGGCCCAATCCAAGCGTATCTGAGGCCAAGGTTTATGCTCTATTATGTCATGTTACCACTGGGGAAGATAGATCTATTGCCCCAAACCCCTAAAGGTCCCAGATTTCATTTCAGTGATTTAAGGATGATCTACACCTCTGTTATCACTGGTCGCCAAGAAAGGTATGCACGGGGTGAGCTTGGCTAGCGGGGTTAGGCCTCTGGGGATCCCAGGGGGACCTGTCCAGGGCAGGAAGAGCTACAAAGTTACTGCCATCAACTCAGACCCAGCTCTGCATGGGCCTTGGGGAGAGAGCCTCCAAAAAGGCCATGGTGATGAGAAGCCTCAGCCAGTGAGCCGTGGGGCATCCTGCTTAAGGTCTGGGGGCCAAGAGCTGCCTGGCTTGCATCAGACAGATACACCCAGAAGGTGCTTTTCTTCTTGTCAAGGTTGGGGGTGGGGTAGGGATGTGCTGGCTGAACCTGAGAACCCAAGGTTCACTTCAGGTCCCTGGAGCTGGTCCTGATCCTCCCACCCCCATATCTCACCCCAGCCTTGGGGCTCCTGGCCAAACACTATATATTATTTCATTTCATCCTCATGATAACCTGCAATATGGGTATCTTAATCCTCACTTTTAAGAAAAAAACAGGTTCATAAGGTTAAATAATTTGCCCAGGGTCACATAGCTAAGAATTAGCTAAGTTAGGGGCCCAATCCAAGCGTATCTGAGGCCAAGGTTTATGCTCTATTATGTCATGTTACCACTGGGGAAGATAGATCTATTGCCCCAAACCCCTAAAGGTCCCAGATTTCATTTCAGTGATTTAAGGATGATCTACACCTCTGTTATCACTGGTCGCCAAGAAAGGTATGCACGGGGTGAGCTTGGCTAGCGGGGTTAGGCCTCTGGGGATCCCAGGGGGACCTGTCCAGGGCAGGAAGAGCTACAAAGTTACTGCCATCAACTCAGACCCAGCTCTGCATGGGCCTTGGGGAGAGAGCCTCCAAAAAGGCCATGGTGATGAGAAGCCTCAGCCAGTGAGCCGTGGGGCATCCTGCTTAAGGTCTGGGGGCCAAGAGCTGCCTGGCTTGCATCAGACAGATACACCCAGAAGGTGCTTTTCTTCTTGTCAAGGTTGGGGGTGGGGTAGGGATGTGCTGGCTGAACCTGAGAACCCAAGGTTCACTTCAGGTCCCTGGAGCTGGTCCTGATCCTCCCACCCCCATATCTCACCCCAGCCTTGGGGCTCCTGATACAGCGACCGCAAGTGACATCTTTTTTGTTGTTCTTTTAAGTAGGCTCCGTGCCCAGCATGGAGCCCAATATAGAGCGTGAACTCACAACCTTGAGATCAAGACCTGAGCTGAGATCAAGAGTCAGCCGCTTAACCAACTGAGCCACCCAGGCGCCCCCCAAGGGACATCTTAACTGAGTACAGGATTTACACCTAGTAGCCTTCTGCTTTTCCCGGATAAGGCAGGTGTCAGGTCTACGATCAGGGACTAACGTTTGAGGACACGCCTGTGTGTCACTGTGCGAGCATATGCAACTACACACCCACACAGAATGACCCGGGGCGGGGGGTGGGGGGGTGGGGGGGGTGGGACGTGCCTTTCCTGACCTCTCTGTGACGCCCAGCACTGGGCGCCTTACGCCCAGCCCCGCCCCTGCCCCTGGCCAAGAAGAAGCAACACGGTGGCCAAAGGGGCCCCTTGGGAGCTTGAAATCATTGCATTTTCAGCCTCCACCCATCACCCCACACAGGGCAGGAGCCAAGCAAGAACCTTCTCTGTCAACAACAGGGATGACATCCAGTGGGGCAAGGAGCACCTGGGAGGCGGGGGAGAGCCAAGCTTGAGGGGACTCAGGGAGTCGTCCCCTCCCCAACTAAGGCTCAGATCTATCAGGCTAGATGGGCCTTTCCCAGATGGCCACAGCCCCCAGAATGGAGGGGAATGGCTGGTGGCCCGCTTCTTCAAGTGTCGGGAGAAAACAAGGTGATGATGCTGATGGGGCTGGGAGCGGCAGGAAGCTGAGGCAGGAGGAGGGAAGGAGAATCGCTTGTGCCCACCTGAGGGAGGGAGCCTGTCGTCAGCTGGAGTTTCTGCTGAAACAGGGCGCTCAGCATCTGGTTCTGCCGTTCCAGGTCAAACACCCTCTTCTTCAGCTTGATGCACTCCTCCCGCAGGTCCTGAGCCCAGGGAGGCGGAGGGAGACAAGGAGAGGATAGCGGGGAGGGGGCGAGTTGTATGAGCCCGGTCTCCTTCATCAGAGTAGCGGGCACTCCTGCTGGGCATGCCCTTCTCCTGCAGCCTCCTTCTAGGGGAAGCTGAGCCTGCCTACGTTTGTAGCTGTCATATTTTCTGGGGATGGTAAATTCTCTAAAGTCTACCACCCCTGGTGGGAGGTAAATCCTATTCCCTTTGGCATCTTTCCCATCCCTTGAGCCAACCCCCTGCCTCTAAGAAGCCACACATCAAAGAAGGGCCCATATAAGGCAGAGGAAGACCTGGGGGTCAGAGTGGCTCAGAAGTCAAGAAGTTCCCACAGTACTTGAGTAAATATTTAGATGCCACCTTATGCTCACAATATTAACACTGCTATCAAGGCCATCACAATCTGGAGAAACCAGCTGGGGCCAGGATTAGGGAAGATTCAAGCCCAAATCAAAGTTACCATAGCTCAAAGACCTGGCCTTACCTAGCCCACCTCTCCTCCAGGTAGAACAGTATGGACCTGTCCGAGGTGGGGAGAAGGAGCCTTGTTGGAGGGTCAATAGGCCACTTCCACCAAGCTCCCTCCTCTAGCCCCTATGTGAGTAGGCTCAGGGGTCCCCAGGAAGGACTTCCCCTGCTGTATTCAGGGCCTCTCCCCAGGGCGTCTGGGCTCAGGGGCGAGAACGTCTCCCGTGGCTGCTTACCTTCTGGTTTAGCAGTGCCTGCACCACATGGTTGGCAACCTGGGGACAGAGGGCCCGAGGCACAGCCATCAGCCCACCAGCCTCTGCCTGGAGCACCGACAACCCGTGCTCCTCCCAGCTTCCCCACCTCCCCCTGCATCAGTCCCCCTGGAGACCCCACAGACCTCATCTAGACAGCGTTCATAGGTCTCCCGCTGGTTTTCATTGGCCTGAGCAAGCGCCGAGTTCTCTGCCTGCAGGAAGGAGAAAGGGGGCCGACAAGGAGGCTGTGGGATCATTCCTCCACCAGGGCAAATTCCTTTTGGGGAAGGGGAGGCATGGAGTTTACTAGCTACGCCCCTATCCCAGCTCTTGGCTCTGGCTGGATTCCCCACGGGGAGGCCTGCAGAGATGGAGAGAAGGCATCAGAAAGGCAGAGCTGAGATGGCTGGTTTTCTGTAAACCCCAACCTCAGTCAGGGAGGTTGGAGGGACTGCGGAGACACAGTGGCCAGGAGGACCTAAGCTGGGATGTGCCCAAAGTAATCCTTATTTCCCTGGGGGGAGGGCAGAGGAGGCTGGAGGGAGGAGGGCAGGGTCTTAAGAATATGGCAAAGAGCTTAGTGAGGGATCCTTGTCCTTTTCCCTCACATCCTAAGCCCTGGGTCATCTAAACCCTTCTTCCTGTGGCCCCTGTGACCATGCCTTTCTTAAACCGGCAAGGGCGTGAAAGTGGGGGGAGAAAAGGGGGTAAAGAAGGGAGACATTTGGGGGCTAGGACAGCCCTGCCCCTGTGCATGCCTCTTGTCCCAAGCTGCCCCCCCGGCCCCCGAGTTTGGAGAGCTCAGAGCAAAGAAAGGGCTTCTCAGAGGAGCTTTGCTAGAGAACGTTCAGCTCTGCTCCAGCCCAGCAAAGCGGGTTGAGAGGAAGGTCCACCCACATCCATAACGCCTACCCAAGCTCCCGAGGGCCCCAGACGGCACTGCCCCCCCCCCCCCCCCCCCCCGCCGTCTCGTGCCCCACCTCTAGCTCCCGAAGTCGGTGCAGGAGCTCCTGGCAGGTGCCCGGTTCCGTGCCACTGTCACCACCCTCTCCCGGCCTTGGCTTTCCAGGGCTCCCAGCGGGCTGGTCCATGGCCTCCGACATCAGGCCCTGGAACAAGTAAGAGACGCCCTGGCAGGCTACTCCAGGGCACAGGGAGGAGGTGAGTGGAGGAGGAGGACAAAGACAAAACTCGTCAGCATTCTGCAAGTCTAGTGTGACCAGTGGGCCACGGATATTGTAACAACTCAGGGTCTGACTCAGGCTCTTCTGGTCCTAGGACAGACACCCAGACACACTCTGCCCATTTTAAGAACGGAGACCATTGTTTTATAAACCCCAGTCACTGCGTTCACCCCACCACAGGTCACACAGACACTGGCCGGTGACCAAGAAAGCTGAATTCTCTGCTGAGATGGGCCTCGAACCGGCACACACTCGATCTTCCCGGCACAGTGGGAGGGAGCCCGCGTGCCTCACCAGCTCCCTGCTCCCGGCCAGGCCCCATGCCGTTCCCTCTGCAGGGATCCCCTGACACCTCCCTGCTTTCCACGCAGCCAGCTCCTTCCTACTCATTTTTCAGGGTTCCCACTCCAAGTCCAGGTTGGGCACCCCTCCTACACGGTTCTGTACCCGCTTCCCCGGGAGGGTGGACCCCGTGAAGGCAGGCACTCTGCATTCACGTCCCTGCCTGGACTCGCACTCCTTGGTGGGCTACCTGGCATGTCGGGGACAGACTGATGACGAAACCGACTCGTCTGTCACTGCCCGAGAACAGCGCAGCCGGGCTTCTGTCCTGTACCGTGACATATAGGTTGCTGGACTATGGCCGTAGTTACTGGCTGTACCTGACGAGTCTCCAGCTGCTATCTGAGTTGCAATTTCTTTGCTAGAGGAAAGTCCTCATTTCCTTCTTTTGCACAAATATTGCAGAAATTTCCAGTACATGGGAAACCCTTCCTAATGTAAAAGGGCAGAGGCCCCCAGTCCACTCTCTGACCCACTGTAGCCCCCACAAAAGGAGCTTAGTACTGTCAAAGCAAGGAAGAGGAGCCCTCTAGCCCCTCACCGGGCAGGCATCTGAACGATGCCTCCTCTGTGCTCCACGGTGGGGCGCCGGCGATGCCTCCCCGGCCTCCTGGCCCCTCCAGTCCCCCCCCCCCCCCCGCCCCCAGCACGCACAGGCTCAAAGCCCCTCACCTGTCTCTGCCTCCTCAGCCAGGCCAGCACACTCACGCTAGCCACCAGAACGGTCACCTCACCTGTGGAGAAGGAGGGAGACGGTGTGTCAGCCGTGCGTTCCACAAGCATTTACTGGGCTCCTGCTCTGTGCCAGGCCCTGGGCCCTCGGGGATGAACAAGCCAGAGAAAGCCCTGCCTCTGTGAAGCTTCCATTCTACTGGGGGAGGCAGATAACGCAGAGAAGCCAATGGACATACGTCGGGTCCCAATAAGGCACCGAGAGGTGACACCGAAGCAGAGACCTCGGGGACGTCCAGATGAAATCCTGGTCAGGGACCACGGCCCCCAATCCTAACAACTTTATGGGGGGCGGGCACTAGCCTGGGTGAGGGTGCGGAATCTGCGGGTGAAGGAGGCTACCCAAGACATACGGCTGGATCACCAAGCACAGGGGACAGGCCTCGCTTTCCCCCCTCGTAGGTGGCCTCTGTACACACACGAGTTGTACTGCAAGCTCCTTAGAGTCCCAGGGCTCCTGGAGCTATGCAATTCGGGACGGATCCGGGTGAGAATCCTGACTCTACAAGATCTGTTTCCTCACCTATAAAACGGACCTAAGAATACTCAGCCCAAATGTTGGGGGTGAAATGAGATGATGCGTGCAGAGGGTCTTGCATGAACTCAGTAAATGGAGACTTTGCGTGATCACATCCCGACAGAGGTATATTGCTAAGTCCTGCCTCGTTGCCTGCTGCTGCTGGATGTTCATCTGTAAGGGACGCCGAGTCCCAGGCTCCTCCCTGCGGGGTCTGGGCAGTGGGGGCACCCGCAGATCTGACAGGGCCGCACACCCACCCCGCGCTCAGGGGCCTCCTCCTCCTCAACCCCTCCCCGCCAGGTGCCAGCCCAGCCTTCACCCCAGAGGGAAAAAGGGGCAACTGTAAACGGAGAGACTTCTTTCCCAGTGAGAGAGACTGTGCCCGTGTGTGTATGACAGCGGGAAGGGGGCTTCTGAAAACTGCAGGAAAAGGAAAAACTTGTAATACTTATTTTTAAACACTCCACAACAATCTCGAGTCCTTTGTTATTTTAACATCATGAAAAATGTATTGAGTATAACTTCATTTGCTCATGACATTATCGTGTTTGATATTTTTAGAAATGGACGGGCTTGGAAAAAAATGAAAAAAATTCAGGAAATATCCTCCTTCCCACATACATAAATAGGGGTTAAAACCAAAAAAGGCCTCGGGTTACCTCCACCACTTGAGTTAAACCCCACCCCAGCACCCCAGCATGCCCGCTTGGCAGAGGCTCCCAGTGCCCCCAGGGCGCCCTAGCTTTCCCCTCAGGCCCCTCACCCTTTCTCCCCTGTGGACACCTCAGGGAGTAGCGGGGGATGGGAGAGACAGACTTGGGAGGGTGAAGGAAAGCAGCGGGGTGAACACGGCAGTGTCCAGGGCCAGAAAGGGAGGAAGATAAAGCTGGGGAAAAGCCCAAGTCTGTGGTCCCAACAGCGACAGCAAAAACCAAACTAAGGGTGAAGATGCTCTGGGAGAATATCTTTTCCTAAAAAAACAAAAATCAAAACGCCTCCAGGAGGCCCAGATCATAGGGACTGGCTGTGGATCATGTTTGTGGTTTTCTGCCTGTTGAGGAGGGTGGGGACCGGATTACCGCCCCCCCCCCCCCCCCCGAGCTGACTGCCGCCACTCTCTCAATCTGCGCTTCTGTGGATCCCAGGGCGGGGAGGCCTGAGCCCCACTGTGACCTGGGGGAGACCCTCCAAATGATACGCCACCCAAAAGCAACAGCTCTGTCATGTGGGACCGTCTCCGTCTCCCCGGCTGGGCTTCGGGGAGGCTCCGGAAATGAAGACAGACTGTGACTCAACCTCACTTTGGGGAGAAGTTTTCTGCCCTCAGTCGAGGTGGTCTGGCCAACCCAGGACCAGAGGCCTTCCCTCCATCCGCAGGGCCACAAGCAGAGGGGCAGGAAGCTGGCAGCCCGGATTGCCTGAGTCACAGGGAAGAGGCCTGCATTTAAACTTGGCGCCCGAAGCAGTGCACGCTGTGAGCAGGACCGCAGCTGGCGTTCGAGATTTCTATGGCGCAAAGAACACTTCTTACAGCTTCCCTCTCCTCTAGGGAATATTAGGAGATACTACCACCTCCAGCTCCCAGGCTGAGCCTAATGAGGAATTTGGCCCATCACAGCCTGGGTTTTCGGTCTAAATCTCGTGGGGGAAAAAACCAACCCACGTTTGTTCCCCAGTGGCTGTCCCTGCCGCGTGTCAGCGGGGCCCCTCTCCCGGGGGCTGCACACCCTCCTCCTCCCTCAGGCCCCACAGCTCCTACTCACAGCTTCTGGGCTCAGCCCCACCCCGGGCCTGGAAAACCCCCAACCTGGGTTCTTCAGGATGGCCCTGGTTTCAAACACTCCTCCCGTGGTCCCACGACATGCCCGACACGCCCGGATGTTGGATGTTGGGTCTGGAACACATGATACAGGCCACGTTGGGTAGAGATGGAGCTGCAGGAGGTGAGAGCTCCAACTTGAACTGGAGGCTTCTCCCGCCAGAACTGCCAACGGGCAGCCCCGCCCCCCACAAAGGCCTGATTCAGAGGGAGGTGACCTCAGTGCCGAGGGGAGGGGGGGAGAGGAAGGGAGGAAGACCAGCGCCTCCGGGGCCCTCCTTCAGTGGGGGTGGGGGGCCACTGGCAGCAACCAGGGACAGGGAAGGGGGAACAGCTGCTCAGGGGGCTCTGGGTAACCTGGGGACGCGGCTGGCTCAGCCTGATCACTGAGTGAATCTGGTGACTCTGTCTCTTCAGCCCAGTCGGTCATAGGGCCCCCCAAAGAGAGCTGACTGTCCCGGCCTTTCAGTCGGCCAGAGCAAAGGAGTAAGTCTGCAGTGCCCACCCTCTGTCCAGCCAGGGCACAGGCAAGACCCCTCCGTGAGCTCCAAGCCCAGGCCTGGGAGGAAGGGACTAGAGAGGTGGCAGTAAGCCTGTCTTCCGCGCTCCCTCATCCCGGCCCTTAGCCAAGGGCTCTGGGCCCCGATGAGACCCTCACTCACCAGCTGTTCCCCCCAGAGTCCTCTAGGGACAGAAGCCAGGGACCAGGAGGTGGGGGAGGGTGGGCAGCTGTGGGAAGGCAGAGATGGAGAAGCTCACTTTAATAACAGAATCATCCGTAACAACAACCGTTACCCCCCCCCCCCGCCCCCACTCCCCCCATCCCCCAGCTGCTTTCTGGAATCCCCGTCACACCCAAGAGTCCACTTGTAAACAGCAACTTCTGCACCCATTGCAAACAGTCTTTTCTGACCGTATCAGCCCGGGGCTGCTGTGGGTGTGGGGAGGGAATAAAGGGACTGGTGCCCCAGGGCATTCGTGGCCTGAAAGCAGCCACCTTAATCCCTGCCCAAAGCATCGTTTAGCCCTAGGAATTCCAACTGGTCTCCCCCCCCCCCAAGGAAAAGAGGACAGACAAGAATTTCCTTCCCTCCTCCTGACAACTGGCCCTAAGACACAATAGCCCTACTGAGAGGCATGTGTCTGTGGGGAAGGGGCCCCTGCGGCCCCTTCCAACTTCCTCTTCACAGGCACTGCAAGAACCTCCATCCCTTAGTGTGGGTTCTTTCTGACCCACAGTAGGGTCCCCTGCCCCTCCAGGCAGGCAGGAGGAAGGGCAGTCATGTTGAGCCCCGAAGTCTTACAGGCTCCAACACCCCTTACCTCCCCTCTCCCGGCTCCTTCATGCTCCCTGTCCACAGCATAACCCAACAACAAAAAAGCAGCTGCTGGAGGTGGGGAGAGGAAAGGGGCTCAGACACAGACACAATGGGTTTATTTATAGGGCCACATGGCCAGGGGCTCCACGGCTATGAAACCTAGTCCCCACTCACCAAAGCCTAGCTGGGCTCATTCCAGCCAGAAGGCAGATTTAGAGTCTAGTCCCGACACTACAATTTACTCGCTGAGCGGCTTCACGCAAATCACTCAGTCTCTCAGGGACAAGTTCCTTGGTGCCAAATGGAGGCTGTTCTAGAACAGTGGTTCTCAAAATACGGTCCAGGAACCCTGACGTTCATCCAAGGAATTCACAGAGCTGAAACTATTTTCATAACACTACTAAGACATTATTTGCTTTTTTAACTCTCATTCTCTCCTGAGTCTATCCTGGCATTTTCCAGACATGATATGTGATATCACAACAGACTGAATAGAGAAGCAGATATGAGAACCCAGCTGACTTATATTAAGTCAGACATGACATATATGTAAGAACATATATGCCATTCTTTTCACTGTTTTTTTTTTTTTTTGTCCTGGAAAATATATGGTTACTTTTCATAAAATTTGTTAACATATAATAGGTTTATTATTATTTTAAGTTCATTAAATGTTTAAAACTCTCAGTTCTAATTTATATGACAGTAAGTGTCAAAAGGTATAACCTATATAAACCAAAGCTCTTTGGGGGTCCTCAATTTTTAAGAGGTTGGAGGGGTCCTCAGGCCAAAATAGTTTGAGAATCACTTTTCTAGAAGTGTTGTCCAGTAGAACATTCTGTGATGATGAAATGGTTATTCTGTGCTGTCCAATATGGTAGCTGCTAGCTACATGTGGCTCTTGAGCCCTTGAAATGAAACTAGTTCAGGGCGCCTGGGTGGCTCAGTTGGTTAACGGCTGCCTTCGGCTCAGGTCATGATCCCAGGGTCCTGGGATCGAGCCCCATATGGGGCTCCCTGCTCAGCAGGGAGCCTGCTTCTCCCTCGCCCTCTGCCCCGCCCCCACACTCATGCTCTCACATGCTTTCTCTCTCAAATAAATGAATAAAATAAAATCTTAAAAAAAAAAAAAGAAATGTAGCTAGTTCCACCGAGGAAATGAATTTTAAATTTAAATAACCACATGCAGCTTGTGGCTACTGTACTAGATGGTACAATTCCAGAAGATCCCTGGGATTCCTTGATTGAGCCTTCTGGGTCAATGCTTTTTTTCCACAGAGTCTAGATGTTGGGGATGGGACAGGACGAGACTTGACACTCACTTCTGTCCCCAGGCTTTTGCTCACACTGTTTCTTATTCTCTCCTCACCAAAGGAAAGCCATCAACACCAAGGTTTACTGCTAGAGTTGCACGCTTACCCTCCACGGGCTACTTCACACCCACTCCACTCTTCTCAAATTGCCTGCCCTCCCTCCCCCAGAGGATTAAAGCCAGCAGAGGGAAAACCCCTCAAATCTGCCAGCGTCCTCCCAGCTCCATCAGAACGCTTGTACCTCCCCCTCTCCCCAGGTCCTCCCGGTACAGCAGAGGGGCCACCGTCTTCCCGGGCAAGGGCAGTCCCTCTTGCCCCAACCCATTCCCACTTAGGCCTTCAGTAGTGACCTCCTGAAGGGACCTTTCCCATCAGCCTTTAAAGCTTCTCAGGTGTCTTTCATCTAAAAAATAATTTCCCCCTGACATTTCCCCAGACTATGCCCTCTTCTGCCCTTCCAAGCCAAACTTTTTTTTTTAATTTTTTTTTTTTTAGATTTTTATTTTATTTATTTGACAGAGAGGGAACACAAGCAGGGGGAGTGGGAGAGGGAGAAGCAGGCTTCCCGCTGAGCAGGGAGCCCGATGCGGGGCTTGATCCCTGGACCCCGGGATCAAGACCTGAGCCGAAGGCAGACGCTTAGCGACTGAGCCACCCAGGCGCCCCCAAGCCAAACTTCTAAAACAAAACAAAACACCCATCCTCACTTCTCACTCCTTCCTCTCAACCTGGCCCAAAGTCAGCAGTTAACTGCCACAATGCTAAATCCAAACACGATTTTTCCATCCCTGTCATCTTCTCAGGCACAAGTGCCTCTGGTGGCCACTTCCTCCTGGACTTTTTTAAGCTTCAAGACATAGTTCACATCCCCTATGACTCACCCATTTAAAGCGTGCAATCCAGTGGTTCATAGTGCGGTCACAGATTTTTGCCATTGTGGCAACTGTAGAACATTTTCATTACCCTTTAATTAGCACCCCCTCACCCCTGAACTAATTTGTTTTCTGTCTACAGATTTCCCTATTCTGGACGTTTCATATGAATGGACTCATAGAACAGGTGGTCTTCGTGACTGGCTTCTGTCACTTGCATCACGTCTGCAAGGCTCCTCCATGTTGAAGTGCAGATCAGCACTATGTTCCTTTTTTTTTTTTTAAGATTTTATTTATTTATTTGACAGAAAGAGAGAGGCACAGCGAGAGAAGGAACACAAGCAGGGGGAGTGGGAGAGTGAGAAGCAGGCTTCCTGCTGAGCAGGGAGCCCTATACGGGGCTCGATCCCAGGACCCTGGGATCATGACCTGATCATGATCATGATCATGATTAACGACTGAGCCACCCAAGTGCCCCAACTACGTACATTTTTTACAGCCAAACAGTACTCTGATAAATAACTGATGTGCCACCAGTTTATCTCTTCATCTGTTGATGGACATTTGGGCTGTTTCCACTTTTTGGCTCTCATGAACAATGCTGCCGTGAGCATTTGTGTGCAAGTTCTTGTGTGGATGTAGTCACTTCTCTTGGGTATATACCTCGGAGTAGACTTGCTGGATCACATGGTCACTTTAGGTTTACCTTTTGGAGGAACTGCCGAATTTTTTTTTAAAGCGAAGGCACCGTTTTAGTCCCGCCGACAGTGTATGAGGGTTTCCATTTCTCCATGTCCTCACCACTGGTTACTGTCTGATTATCGGATTCTAGTCACCCGAGTAAGTGTGAAGTGATCCCTCATGATGGTAATGATTTATATTTCCCTATTTAAGGATGTTGAGCATCTTTTCATGTGCTTATTGGCCATTTGTATATCTTCCCTGGAGGAATGTCTATTTAGGTCCTTCTCCCATTTTTAATTGGATTATGTGGGTTTTTTTTAAAATGTAGTTATAAGGATTTTTTTATATATTTTGAATACAAGTCTCTTATAAGGTATATGACTTGCAAATATTTTCTCCTATTCCATAGCTTGTCTTTTTACTTTCTTGATGGTGACCACCTTCTCCTAGATGACTTTTCCCTGGTCTATGATGCTCCTCCTCTCCCCCCAGCCATCTTGCACCTCTACTTTGTGTGTGTGTGTGTGTGTGTGTATTTTAAAACTTTGTATGGTTGTGTATACACATACACACACTTTAAAAAAACAGACACAGCAATGTTCTCACTGTTCTACAACTTTCTTTAGAAGAACAATTAAAAAAAAAACAAAACCCAAACCCACAGACTTTATTTGGATCTTCCCAGTTTTTCCACTGATGTCCTTTCCACTGATGTTCTTATTCCAACATCTAATCCATGATTCCACATTGTACTTAATCACCAAATCTCCTTATTTTCCTATGATTCATGATAGTTCCCCAGTAGTCTTTCATGACCTTGACATTTTGGAAGGGAACTGATCAGGTCAGTATTTTGGAGAGTGTTCCCTTACTGGGGTTTGTTTGATGTTTTCTCCAATTAGACTGAGGTTATGAATTTTTGGAAAGAATACCACAGAGGTGATGTGCCCTTCTCAGTGCATTATATTAGGGGGTATAATGTTGAGATGTCTTATGACTGGTGAGGTTAACCTTGAGCACCTAGTTAGGTGGTATCTAGTGGGTTTATCTGTTTATCTGTAAAGTTACTATTTTTCCTTTTGTCATTAGTAACCAGTTTGCGGGGCAATACTTTGTGACCACACAAATACCCTGTTTCTGCTTCAATTTTCACCCGCTAATTTTAGGATTCATCAGTGGATCTTGCTTACAGCAATTACTGTAGTGTTCTAATGATAATTTTTGATTTCCCTCATTCCTTATACATTTATTAATTAGAAATCTTCTGTAAGGAAGAGCTGTCCCTTCACTGCCACTGATTTACTTAATTACACATCTATATTAGCATGAACTCATAGATATTTTATTCTTTGGATTAGAATCCAATATTATCATCACTTATTTCATTGCTTAAATTCCAGCTTTGATCATTGAGAACTCTTTCAGGTCGGTTCCTCCGCTTTCCACATACCTCCATTTAAAAAAATTTATTTACAGGGCGCCCGGGTGGCTCAGTCGGTTGGGCATCTGCCTTCGGCTCAGGTCATGATCCTGGGGTCCTGGGATCGAGCCCCCCATCCAGCTCCCTCTCCCTCTGCCCCTCCCCGCCCCCCCGCCCCTGCTCAGGCACACACGTTCTTTGTCTGAAATAAATAAAATCTTTAAAAAAAATGTATTTAGGGCGCCTGGGTGGCTCAGTCGGTTAAGCAACTGCCTTCGGCTCAGGTCATGATCCCAGGGTCCCGGGATCGAGTCCCGCATCGGGCTCCCTGCTCGGCGAGGAGCCTGCTTCTCCCTCCGACCTTCCCCCCTCTCATGTACTCTCTCTCATTCTCGCTCTCTCAAATGAATAAATAAATCTTAAAAAAAAAAAATGTATTTACTTTTGAACATCTGTTTGCTTCCTGGCACCATAAGATGTTCCAGACTGGGCGCCTGGGTGGCTCAGATGGTTAAGCGTCTGCCTTCGGCTCAGGTCATGATCCCAGGGTCTTGGGATCGAGTCCCACATCGGGCTCCCTGCTCCTTGGGAACCTGCTTCTCCCTCTGCCTCTCTCTCTGTCTCTCATGAATAAATAAATAAAATCTTAAAAAAAAAAAAAAAAAAGATGTTCCAGACTAATCTTATATTTTCCCTGCCACAATCACTTTTCCAAGGAGCTCCACCAGAGCAGCCCTCTTTCTAAAACTGTACCTCTGATTGTGTCCCTACTGCCTCACACCTTCCCATGCCCTCTGACTGCTTTGGGGACAGACCAAAGCCCTCCGCGCAGCACTGAAGCCCAGCGCCGACCCCCCCCCCGCCCCCGCCCAAGCAATTCTCCTGCAAAGCTGCCCCGGACGGAACAGTAGTGGCTTCTTGAAGAACCTCCTGCAGGAGCGGTAGTTCCAACTGTGACGCATCCTGTTCTCTAGTCCTCCCCCGTGAGGAAGAGGGGACTTCCCGTGCCCTTGGAAGGGGAGCTCCCTGAGGAGGAGCCCTGCCTGCACTTCTGTGCTCCCCCACACTCCTGCAGCAAAGCCCTGACCCTGGTCATCTCCTTTCCTTCCAGACAGAGTAAGACCACAAAGAAGGGATGGTGGGCTCCTCAGCTTCTCGTAAAGACATCCAACTGTCCCCCTGCCCAAATGGCTCTGAGGACAAACCATGCGGAGAGGTGAGCAAGGGACATTTTCAGTTTTGTCCCTAACGTTGATAAGACCTTATCCAAGCCCTCAACCCACTCCCGGGCCTGGTGACTCCCTCTGGCCAATGGGACTAAGCTATTCACTCTGCAGATACTTCCCAACAGATCACTCAGGAGGAGGACCGAGGCTGGGGACTGGGGAGCAATTCAGAGATGGCTCAGCTCTTCTGACTTCTTGGGGCTTCCAATCTAGTAGGGGACATGACACATGCAGGTAATAGCTGCACGGTGGAGCATGTGCCACGAGAGAAGTCGCTTGGAGAACTTTAAAAATCAGGAGGGAAATATTAAGCTGCAGCTGCAACAGTTTTTCAGAATGCAAGGCATCAAAGGAACGGACACTTTATAGACCAGTGGGGTTTAGGTACAAGGGAACAGCAAGGGGGTCCTTCTAGGCAAAAGGCAGGCAGAAACAGAAGGAGGCACAAATCTCGGGGTGTATACGGAAACGCAGTGCAGCTGGGCTGAAGGGCATTTGAAGGGGAGTGTTTCCTGGTCCCCTGGCCCATGCCAGTTACTAACTCCTCTCCTATCTCCCGACCCAACAGCACAGTCAGCACATTTTCAACACCCGGGGTGTAACCGGAGACACGAGCTGGATCCCACAGGAAGAGCTGAGGCAGAAAGGCTCCTGGAGGCCGTCGTGGAGGCGACTGCTGAGTTGACTACTGGAACATCAGCTCTCTGTTCTCAGATCCAAGAGGAAGAGGGCCTGGGAGGCCACACAGTCTGTTGGCTCTCAGGCTGCACCTGCAGGCTACACCTTCCCAGCCCCCAGGCTCAGCCCCTGGGGCTCACTCCCTCAGCTTCCTATCCTGGCCTCTTTCTTCAAAGGGAACAGGCTCTGGCCGGCCAAGTGCCTTCCAGGTCCGGGCAGCTTCAGTGTTGACTCAGTGGGTGCCATTTGGCCAGAGCCCGGAGGTGACCTCCTAAGCTGCCAGCTCGGGCAGGAAGCAAGTCGCCTTCTCTGGAACAGAAAGTAGCTCTGGCTCACCACAAGCCCTCACTGGACTCTGCTCTTACTTGTGCCCCCAAGTGGGAGTGAGGCTTCCTGGATTCCGGTTTTGGCTGGGCTGCACTGAGTGACCCTGGGTGAAGCCAAGAACCCTGCTGGGACTCAGTTTTCCTATCCGTAAAGTGGGGTGAACTCTCCCTGACTTTTTCTGCAGGGCATAGAAGGATGAGATCATGTCTGGAAAGGATTGCAGCTGGGGTAGGGGGTTGAAGGTGAGGAGCTCGGCAGGGCTTTTAGGGAGAAGCCCTTGGTTTGGATTCTGCCTTCCCCCTACAGGGCCCACGGGCTTCCCAGGAAAGCAGCGGGGTGGGGAGTAGAGAGAGGAAGGGTCAGCAAAGCCGAGAGCTTAAGACTTCTCCTGGTCCCAGGGACAGGAAGTGAGGTGCCGTCTAGAGAGGAAGTGAGAAGCAAACACCCCCCAACTTCCCTTCAGCCTACAGGGGAAAGGAAGGCTCCAGCTTCAGGAGCCTGCAGGCCCAGAGCTGGGGAGACAAGGCAGTGGGGTGGGGGTGGGGAGGAGGCATTAGCAGCACCATCTGGCAGAGAAGGGGGGTTCTTGTCTTGGACATAATAAAACTCAAGGGGCCCAGGACATCCCACAGACTGGGAGAGGGGGGAGAAGAGAAGCCATAGAAGTCAAGTTCAAAAACACAGCTTTCCAGGTCACGTGGCACTATTATTTACAGTCCTGGCCCCCAGCCTCCTGCCCCCAGCTTCATGCTGTGCCCTGCCATGTGCCTCCCCGCCGGGACACGCACACTCCCGCACACACCGAGGCGGCCCAGGGCCTCTGATTACTTGCTCTTACGGTATATGCCCTTTCTTTGTAGCCTGCATCATAGCTGTGGTTCTACAACTGCTGAATTATTTGATTAAGGCAGACTTTTGGGATCAGCACTGTACCCCCAGGGTCTAGCATAACACCTCGCCCACAGTAACTGCTGAGAACGCCTCAGAGGCTGGTTTGGGCCTAAACCTTGGCATCTGAATGAAGTTCAGTATACAAAGGTGAACAAACCCTGCTCACGGCCTGGGATCGACTGGGTGACCCTGGGGTGGGCAGTAAAGACCAGAAACCAGAGAACTGACAGGCGGCAGGAGAAATCCATGCACACCCAGACACTGCCAACAGGTAACAGATGAAGACAGTATATGCTATCTGCTATCTTTTGGATAAGGGGGAAAAATAAGAATAGACATTTGTATTTGTTTTGTGTAAAGACATCCTTGAGGGATATGTAAGAAACTAATGTGATCATCTGTGGAGGGAAAAGGGGGTGAAGGTAGGAGCACAATTTCTCAACATACACCTTTTTGTACCATTTTGATTTTTGGACTATATTTTTAAAAATGCTAGTGAAAAACTAAAATATAAAACTTTGAAAAAAAAAAATGTTAGCAGGAACAACCACCTGCCCAGGTGATTTCTAAAGGTCCTCCCAGCTGGGGCTATCTACTCTCTTCCCATATTAGGAAGTAGGAACCAGGCCCTTGGGACAAGGGAGAGGTGAGGAGGTCTGGCTAGTTGAGTGTGGGGACTCTGGCCAAAGGACACCAGTCTTCACTCCCTTTCTCCCTGGGCTAGAAGAGAGGCCCTGTCACCCCTAGCCCGTGGTGTGGCACGGGAGCACCGAACTGTTCGGAAGTTGGTCAGGGCCACTTCCTCCTGGATGAGAACTGGGTTCATTCTAGATCCCAAGGGGTAGGGGCAGAGGTGGGTGGTTGGGCAAGGGGAAGAGTTTGGGGCAGGTGGGAGTAAGCTGGGGTAAATGACACCTGGAGGCTCCTGCAGCTGCTGCGGGCAGGTTCTGGGGGTGTCTCAACAGATCCTCATACAAAAGGACCAATTACAGCCCCCACATCAAGACAGCCGAGGGTGAAATGAATCAGCCCATAGGAACAATGACTGCTGAGAACCCTAGGGCCACACCCCAGGAGTTCTGGGGCCCCTCACAGTCCCATCTAGGAAAAACCTCATCATTCTTCTACCCAGAGGGTCAGCGGGGAGGGACAGTGTCAAGCCCTGCAAGAGAGTGAGAACTGCAGACCAGGGCCCCAAGCAGCACCCACCACCACTCAAGCCTTGCAGGCATCAGCATGAGACGCAGAATGGGGTCGTCTCTCCTTTTAAAATATCTCTACAGATGGGTGCCTGGGTGGCTCAGGTGGTTAAGCGTCTGCCTTCGGCCCAGGTCATGATCCCAGGGTCCCGGGATCGAGTCCCACATCGGGCTCCCGGCTCAGCAGGGAGCCTGCTTCTCCCTCTGACCCTCTCCCCTCTCATGCTGTTTCTCTCTCGCTCGCTCTCTAAAAAATAAATAAAATCTTAAAAAAAAAATATATATATATATATATATAAAAAAAATAAAATAAAATATTTCTACAGATACAGATATAGATATTTTTAAAAGCCTAGTGAGTACTGGAGAACTCCCAGAGCTCAAGGACCACCATAAGGGTCCAGGAGCTGTGTCTGACTGGGCTCTTCTCCGGGGCTGCTCGACTTTTAGAAATCAGTAATAATAGCAGTGATAATTCACCTTAATAACAGCCTGGCCTCCTGAGGCCTCTTTCATCCGTGTAACTCCCAGAGCTGGGAAAATGGCAATTACTGAACAGGTGCCACGCCCCAGTGATGATGTGTTATTAATCCATCCGCCCAGGCTGGGAAACTGAGGCGCAGGGAGGACTTCCCCTCACAAGGAACTAAGGATGTAGGAGCTGAGGGCCAATGGGCGGTGCTGGCTCTGTACCTGCTGTGTTTGGGAAGATGTTGAAGAAGGTGGGGGGGCGGGGGGCCCCTCCTTTCAGAGTCAGCCAGGCCTGGGTTTGGGATAAAGGCGAGGAAGACCCCAGATGTGTCCCAAGCCCCCTCCCCAGGCTGCAGCAGGGCCTGGTGGTGGCCTTGGCTGGGAGTCAGGGCCTCTGATCTTGAGCCCATACACTTACTCTGCCAAAGTACTACAAGGCGGGCCAACAGCTGCTCTGAGCATCTCCACCATGTCTGCAACACACGCAGGCACCACGGGGTAAGTGAGGGCTCAGCCTCCCAAACAGCCCCACGCCACAGGCACCACCTCTGAAGCGGGAACAGGGGGCATCTTACAGCTGGGCAGGTGTGTGTGTGTGTGTGTGTGTGTGTGTGTGGATCAAATCAAAAACATGTCAAGAAGTGGGGAGACTACTTCTTAGGGACCCAAGCCCATCTCTGCAGCCCCCTTCCAACTTTGACACTGATCTCAAAGAAATGAGATCCTTCTTATAGCAAGGGCAGGGGAGGGGAGGCAGAAAGTCACAGAACACTAACGATTTTCCCACCGTGGCCGTGGAGGGAAGCAGCGGAGACTCACATGAGGATGGGAGGGTAAAGACAGAGGCACTGCCTGGGCAGAGCCATCCACAGCCTACTGTGTGCCTGGTGCTGTGGGAGATGCTCGAACAAACACAGTCTCAGCTCAGGGAAAACCACAAGGCCCAAGCCAGGCAGCAACCAATGACCTTGTCCTCCAACCTTCCAGGACAGGGCCTGGGGAAAAACAAGGGTGTTGTTCGAAGGGATCCGAAGTTATTTTCTTCAGCATGTTAGATCTGACCAGAGCCCCTGGGGAGGCCCTGAGATAACACTCTGACCCTCCAAGGGTCCAGCTCTCCACAATCTCAGATCCCAGAACTGCCCTTTCTGCTTTAAATTCGGCCAGGCCCTTCACGCCGGAGAAATGAAGGCCGAGGGGGACCATGTAACACACCAGACCGGAGTCAGGAGCCCTGTCACTGCCACTCATTATTGTATGAATCACTTCCCCCTCTGGACTTCAGTTTCCCCATTTTTAACACGAGGGCGTTGGACTAGATGTCTCTAGGATTCCTTCCAGCCTATGACTCTATGTTGTTTTGATGTGGTGGCAGATCCCAGATTGATTTACATAAATTTGCATGTTCAATCAGAAATCCCAAACTCCAAGTATAGAAAATCCAATCAGTCCATTAGTGCAGCCAGACTGGGGCTGGAGGCGCCTGCCAGGTTCGGGCAAAGCAGACCGTGGTAGTGGTGGTGAATTGGGGGAGGAGCTGAGGGAAGCAGGGCGAGAAGTGGCGTTTGTTCTAAGGGATGCAGTTCTGGTGACCCAGAGCCGATGGGGCTGGGGTGCCCTCTTCGGCTACTGGGCAAGGGTCCTTTCTCCTGCTTCCAACGGGGCCTCCGGCTGGCCAGCCTCAGAGCCACACCCCAGGAGGAAAGAGCAGCCTCTGCCTAGCAACAGCCGCATCCCTCACTCTGACAGAGACTGGAAACTGACCTCGCTGGGAGCTCCCATTTTCCATTCCAGGGGCTCCTCGCAGTGAGGAAGGTTTCCTTGGGGTCTAACCTAAATGCCTCCTGCTGCAGCTTCAGTCCGTGGGCAGCAGGGCCCAGGGAAGGGGGCTCCCCAGGCCCAGGAGAGCTAGCACAGGGAAAAGCAATGCAGACAATGTGTCCCCACGTCCAACCCATCCCACAGCCTCTCTAACTACCACCTCCTCTAACATCCCCCCCTGGCACCTGGGAGACCAAGGAAGAAAACAAACAAGGAAAACGTGAAGGCCTTTGGCTCTTGGGCTAGAGAGCAAGTCCCAACCTGGAGAGCCTGACTCCTGAGAAACCATACCCCCAGGAGGGAAGGAGGCCGGGAAAGGT